GGAGGGATTTGCTAGAGCAGTTCGTGTCGTACACACCTCTGCAGCGCTTGGTATACACGCCGTACAGCAAAGAGGAGGAGGCGAGGTTTTTCTCGCTTAATATGCATCATGAGGACATGATGGTGGGGTATGTGCTGCACAAAGTAATGGGCAATAATATTACCTTTGTACGTGAACCGCCCTGTCGGTTTCATGACCTTTACCGAGGATACCACAGCCGAAACGTGACTTGGAGTTCCGTTATGATGCACCATACCAAAGAGAAGGACTATGAACTTTTTATGAATATTTTCGGGAACGATACGGCTCCTCCTGCAAAGGCTTACAAGGTAATCAATAATCGCATCGAGTTTGAATGCTAACCCTAGTATGTGAATGATGCCTTTAATGCTTGCTGCAAATGTGTCTGTCTGTCCTTTGCGTGAGAGGTATTTCTCTGTGTGTGTGTGTGGTTCCCTCTTATTCCCCCTCAGCACACATACACTGCGTACACCACAGCAATGGCTTTGCCGTCCGATGGACTACTGGGCTCGGTGGATAACACTCCTCCTCCTCCTCAGTCTGTCACCGCAGGGAGCCATCAGACATCTGCACTCTGCTGAACCAACCACCCCCACACAGATTGAGACCGGACACTGTACGCACCTGCCAGCGCCTTGCTTGCAAAGGGACCGCTCCGCACATTCTGCCGTCATCCCAAAGCCGCCTATACAACGATATGGAGTGGATGGTGATGACGTGAAGAAGCTCTGCTTTGCAAAGAATCGAGGCCAAATTGCTTGTTGACCTGGAAGAGCCATTCTCCCGACGGAATCCTTCACGGAGAAAGAAGGCGAACATTTCACCAACGACAATGGTGACGCCTGTATACACTTTCTGATTATATACCCACCTTTTATTATGCAATCAGAGAATTAATTAGAACCGAAGCATGTAAAAGAAAAATACAAATACAAACAGGAACTACATTAAACACAAAACTGTTACTTTTCATACTAACTTCGGACAACAATGTCCGGACTCTAATCTTACTTTCTTTTAGTTAACCACTTTACTTAGCCCTCTACTCCGAAATATCACTATAATGACTACATACGTCACGATAGTGGTTTAGGGGGTTTCCTTCTTAACGTGGTGGTCATGAGACCCGACCTGTCTATTGCAGACACGTATATGGAGGGACCAATATATAACAAAATGGAACTGGAAACATGAAACACAAACCAATGGGAAACCAATAACGTAACAAACATGAAACATGAATTATCTCTTTACATCTTCAGTTACTGTAATAATGCTGACCTGCGATGGAGGCTGATGGTCCAGCCACCGGTGAGTATTGGGAAACCACATGGCAAACCACACAAACGCCAATGACCCCCCACACTGTATGCTGCAGAACACACTCCTCTCTTCATTCTTTTTCTATACTTATCCTCAAGCTGTAGACACACAGATAGAGCTATAATGGCAACCCGTGGTCCACGAAAGGTAGTCATAGCTATAACTCTATTTTTCTTCCTTCTTACATTACAGGCATTCATTGGACACCGCTACTATGACGCCGATACAGCAGTCACGTCTAGTGGGTATCCCTCTGATACATCGTTGAACGTCACTGCCGCCGTAAAGCCGCATAGTCCAGATGCCACAGCTGACAATGAGTCTCTGCGCTACATCCCACACAGCACCATACAGACATGGAGGGAGCGTGACTACCTCATTGTGTTTGGCATCCCATCCATTGACATTGAAGCGAGGCGGAGACGCCGTTATCTGCAGCGGACCACGTGCTGGCAGTTCCCCGGTGTTGCACGGAGGGCGAATAACTTCACTGGGGCCATGTTGGTGTTGTATGTACTTGCACGGCACCCATCACATGGCTATAAGCATTCTGCTGCACTACTGGAGGAGGCTGATGAGTATCATGATATCATTACACTGCCGATGAATGATGCTCTGCCAACAACGAACAAAACAATTGGTGGAGCTGGTCATTGGGGTACCGAGGCCGGTATAAGTATGAGTCGAAAAACGTACTTTTGGTTTGAGTTGGCACTGCGAGTGTTCCCGAATGTGAGCTACATTTCGAAGGGAGACGATGACATGTTCTTGCGAGTACCACAGTTTTTAACTGATTTGAACGTGTTGCCTTTGAAGAATATATATTTTGGATTACCCATTGGTGGTTCTCTTTTAATAAATAATAGCATTGTTGGCTTTCGATTTGCTAGTGGAATGTGCTATACCTTGTCAAGGGATGTGGCAGAACAGTTTGTCGCCTTCGAGCCATTAAGACGATTGGTCCAGCTTCGTTACAGCAAAAATCGGGAGTCGGAGTTTTTCTCGCTTAATATGAATGCGGAGGATGTTATGGTGGCCCGTGTACTATTAGTTGAACTCCAGTACAAACCATTGGTTTTTGCTGGTGTTTTGCCCTGCAGGTTCCATAATATTCGTAATGACACCGGCCATTTTATGGTAAACCGAAACTCTGTTGTGGTGCATCACTTGCGAGAAGATGAGTATGCGATGCTGATGGATAGGTTTGGCTATATTGCAGCGTATACCCCAAAAGTGCAAAAGCTGCGAAAGCGGCAATTTCTTAGGTTTTTGTGTTAGGTGGGATTGAAAGTAAAAGCTGTGGGTTGAATATTCTTTTTTTAGATTTTATCCAGCGAACACTATTACTCTATCTTCTCTTTGTATTTATACTGATACGTTAAATTGTTCCGTGTGAGATGTTATGGGGGAAGATGTATTTTCTCATCCTTGCATTTGAATACCAATGAGACGCTTGCCATAACGTCATAATCCCTTTGGAATCAATACAACTTGTTCTTTTCTGTATTTGGGATGCCATTACTTTACCGACATCCATTTTGCAAAGGTACTGCACAGCAACTGACTCTTTGACCACCGTGCAGTCACTACAGGTACCTCTACTGTGTGAACATCTTTTGTATACATCCTCATCCCTCTCTCTTCACCCCTCACCCGTAGTGACATAGAGTGAACATGGCACGTAAGGCACCACAGAGACCAGTCATTCTCGGTACACTCCTGCTGTTTTTATTGGTGGTAATAGTATTTATTGGTGATTACTACTTGGATGTTGATTCTCTGGTCAAATCGAGTGAGTCCCACTCCAATATACCATTGGCCAAAAACACCAGCAGCAGGAATACTGATAGTCCAGATGACACAGCTGACAATGAGTCTCTGCGATACATCCCACACAGCACCATACAGACATGGAGGGAGCGTGACTACCTCATTGTGTTTGGCATCCCATCTGTGGATATTGATTCGAGGCGGAGACGCCGTTATCTGCAGCGGACCACGTGCTGGCAGTTCCCCGGTGTTGCACGGAGGGCGAATAACTTCACTGGGGCCATGTTGGTGTTGTATGTACTTGCACGGCACCCATCACAGGGCTATAAGCATTCTGCTGCACTACTGAAGGAGGCTGATGAGTGGCATGATATCATTACACTGCCGATGAATGATGCTCTGCCAACAACGAACAAAACAATTGGTGGAGCTGGTCATTGGGGTACCGAGGCTGAGATTAGCATGAGCCGAAAGGTGTACTTTTGGTTTGAGTTGGCATTGCGAGTATTCCCGAATGTGAACTACATTTCGAAGGGAGACGATGACATGTTCCTGCGAGTACCGCAGTTCCTGGCTGATTTGCACACACTACCCAGGCGCAGAGTGTATTGGGGACTGCCTATTTATGGTTATGTAAAAAAGAAAAATAAGAATGTTGGATTTCCATATGCTGCTGGAATGTGCTATACCTTGTCAAGGGATGTGGCACAGCAGTTCGTGTCCTACAAACCACTGCAACGTGTTGTACATCCGCCGTATGGCAAGGTGAAGAAGGTGTATTCTGATCATCTTAGCGTGTTGTATGAGGATGTCTTGGTGGGATTTGTGCTCCATGAAATTGGAAAGAGGACCATTACGTTCGTTCTTGAGAGAAGATGTCGATTTCATGATATTCATGAGGGACTTAATCTAGGGCGTGTGAGTAAAGCGTCGGTCGTGGTGCACCACATTACTGAAGAGGATTTTATGTGGCTTATGAAAATGTTTGGTAATGCTGGAACTTCCAAGCCCCGGAAGTATAAGCGGATCGGAAGGTCTCTTAGATTTTTTTGTTGATTGTAAGGATTTATGGAAGACTGTTTATTTGCATGCATACTAAGTGTATGATTTTTTATGGGTAAGATAATTAACTTGCTACCTAATGAATTGTGGTTTGTGTCTTTTTTTTTCCTTCTGGTGCTCTGAGTCATCAATCGTTTGATAACTGTTTTTCTTCTGTATCTGTGTGTGTATGTGTTTGTATTTGCGTTTCTGTAGTTTTCCAGTGATCTGTTTTTGATGTTTTGTGTTGCATACTATCCTCTAGGAAAATCCCCACAAACGTTGCTTTTTTTTTTTGTTTCACTTTCTTTTTCTTTCCTTTATTAGTAAGTGTAAAAATAAAATAAAGGTTCACTTTTTTTGCTTGTGCCTTTACCTGTCTTTCTGTGTCTGTGTACCATATCCCACCCTGCCATATATGTCCGAACAAAATTCCACAGAAACCCACGTCCCCATCTTCGTTGAAAGTCCATCAGGGGAGGTGCTAAAATCACAACAGGAACCTGTACTGCAGGAGAATGTGAAGCCGATAGGGGATCTGCCGCAGAAGAAGGGGCACAATGTTATATTGCGTTTCTTTCACCGTCTCGTCCCACGCGGCGGCTCACTCTCCGGTGTGTTGAATCTTGCGAGTGTAACGCTTGGGGCGGGCATTATATCAATTCCCTCTGCCTTCAACACCTCCGGTATTGTCATGGCAGTGGTGTACCTTCTTGCCGTAACGGCTCTGACGATCTTCTCCATCTCTCTCCTCGCTTCTGTGGCGGATCGGACGGGACTTTGGAGTTTTGAGGCAGTCGCCGCTGCACTACTTGGCCGCCGCGCTGATATCGCCGTGGCGTTTCTCATGTGGTTACTCTGTTTTGGCGGTGCTGTTGGCTACGTTGTGGCAGTGGGCGATGTGCTGCGGCCTATCCTTGCACACCCCGGCGTGCCGGCGTACCTGCAGACAGACAGCGGGAGACGAGTGTTGATGAGTGTGATTTGGCTTATTTTCATGTTCCCTCTGGTGCTGCCGAAGCAAGTGAATTCACTCCGCTACGCTTCTGCGGTGGGTGTGGTTTTTATTCTCTTCTTCGTCATCTGTGTTGTGGTGTACTCAGCAGGGGTAATACGTAGGAATGGTGGACTTCCCAGTGATCTCGTGTTGGTACGCCCTGGAAATGATGCCGTCTCGGGACTTTCTATATTTATGTTTGCCTATCTTTGTCAGGTAAACTGTTTTAAGATATATTATGAAATGAAAAACCGCTCCGTTTCACGTATGACAAAAGATGCAGCGATAAGCTGTGGTGTTTGTTGCCTTCTCTACTTTTTGATGGGCCTCTTTGGCTACGCAGCTTTTGGAACAGAAGTGAGTGGATCCGTTTTGCGGTATTTCAACCCATATGAAACCCCTATATTTTTTGTCTGCTTCGGTGGTATTATCTTAAAGCTTTGTGCCGCTTTTTCACTTAATATGTTGGCATGCCGCACTGCACTCTTCCAGGTAGTACACTGGGATGTGGAGACAATGCCGTACTGGAAACACAGCATCTTTAGTGTTTTGTTCGCCGTCAGCGCCCTCGTACTTGGTCTATTCGTACCTGACATTAATATTGTGTTTGGACTTGTAGGAGCCTTCTGTGGCGGTTTTATTGGTTTTGTCTTCCCTGCGCTGTTTATTATGTACTCCGGGAACTGGTCCTTCAGAAGTGTTGGTTGGGTACAGTATTTACTCACCTACTTCCTTCTGCTTGCCGGTGTGGTGGCAATTGTATTTGGCACAGGAAGTTCCATCTAC